ATAGATAGATAGATAGATAGATAGATAGATACATAGACAGATATATAGATTGACAGACAGACAGACAGACAGGCAGGCAGGCAGGGAGGCAGGCAGGCAGACAGACAGACAGACAGGCAGGATTCCTGCCTCCTAGCACATACACACACACACAAGATCAGGTCCGCGCAGTGCTGACACTGGGGACCACTTTTGCGTGATCCGAGCGCGAGCCTAGCGCGAGCCGCACCTGTCGCACACACAAGGTTCCCCACGTCACCGCCGGGAGTCACTTTATGCCGGAAATGTATATCGGTAGGTTCCCTCTGCAATGTGCAGCGGGCAAAGAAGTCACGTTTCTTTTCCTGCGCTGTGGCCGGGGCCGCATGTGGCTCATGTCGGCGTCGATGTGGTGAACATGAGTATTGTCAACCTGCGCTGCCTGACATGCGACTGGTATTGCATCAAAACTTGGAAAGATTGAATTGCCAGTGGACTTGCGGAGCAATTTGCAGTTGCGTGTTGGGCACGGGTGACGAATGTGTGGCACAAATAGAAAAGGAATTCCAGACGAACAACCAACAACAAGGGAGGCTGTCGAGATGCAAAGAGTGTCAAACGCAAACAGGATCAAAAGGAAGTGGTGTCATCAGACAAGGATGACAAAAGAAAGAGCTGTCAAGGAGAAAGGACGTCCGGACAAGCAGCAGGCAATAGGAAGGGCTGTCAAAATTCAAAGATGTCAAGGGCAAACCGGATCAAGAGAAAGTTGCATAATCAGAGAAGGACATAAGAGACAGAAATGACAATGGCACTGACAAGCAGGCGCTCAGGTGTCCTTCCCATAGGTTTTCACTTCTCTGCAGAGTTATCCCCACCCTTTCGGTCACCCGGCTTGCTGGGGCTCTAGTGGTACCATACTCCATATTTCTTTCTTAGTTGCCCTGAGGCCCACACTTGGCTGTCGCTAGTAATAGAGGAGGCGTCCCATGTCGTCAAAGGCTTGAGAGCACCTTGTCTTTTGGGCTTGTGCATACGGTGGGGAGAAGCTTGGTGGAGACAATGTTTGATGAAGATAATCTAAGGTAATTTAAGATATCATATATACTGGGACCCTGTAAGGGTCACCAAGACTAGGCGCTCCGTAGCACGGGTCACTTTTAAGCACCCCTTAGATTTTTTTTTGTTGTTCAATATTGGGACGTGAACTCAGAGATCTCAGGGAACTGTCAAACTATTTCAAAAAAATGGTTCCAATACACAAATTCCTTGTCGGGTGGGTTTTCAAGGTTGCAAAATGTGTCATTTGCGTGCAGAAATCTGGGATTTGCGCAGCAGTGCTCACCACTATGTGATCGCCAGTGAATGTAGTTTGTGGCGTGCCATCGTGGTATTAGAGGGTATGATCATTGGATAGCATATTGGCAGGATTGTTATGACATATCCAGTTTGGTGGAGAGGGGAACAAAAGGGATCCAGACAGAAAACCACCCCATTCATTTTGGAAAGGAAACATGGTGATTGTTGAACCCAGGACCAACCGGGCAGCCACATTCGCAAAGCAGTCGGAACCCTGAGTTGATTTTTTTTGTCATCTTGGCCATGCATCGGCGTTTGTTCTTCACAGTCCGACCGACTTGCCGACTTCTTGGAACAACGTATCCATCATTTTCCATGTACTTAGCCACCCAGGCGACCGACAAAGACATCCTCAACATCAATGCGGATCTCGGGCGAAAATTTCTGCGTCGTGGTCTGAGTGGTCTAAGGCAGGACAGGCAGACCTGGGAGGTATATCCTATTGGTAAAGCCTCCACGCTGGTGCTTTCACAGACCATTTTCCAGTTGAAGGTTGGTGCCAAATGAACAATTTGTGTGTGTGTGTGTACACCGTTATAACAAACGGTTTTAGTTCTTTTCATTGCTCTTGTACTATTCTAAAAAGCAGGGGGCAGAGGTACCCATGTCACTTCCTCTGCCAACGAAGCTGGGTGACATGTGGTAAGGATATAGATCAGGGACGCCTGATCTACGTACCTGCTATAGTTTCAACTGTTGACTTTCTGTTCTTGTTTATGAGCTGTGCGTTGTTTCTTCGATCGGGAACCTGTGTCCGCTGAAATTCTACAGCCAGGCAACTCAGGAAATCAGGCGAAGACTATGACATCCTTCACACTTTTTACTGGCCATTACCCCACAGTGTGTCCTGGGTGTTTGACCTAAATTGGTCGCACCGTCGGTTGGTTTCGACCAATCAAAAAGTCATGAGCGGGCATTTTCCCGTATTCCGAGTGGAGTATGAATCTCCGAAGCCGTATGCACTTCGAGTGCATTTCAAGCGTCATATGACGGAGTCAAGATTTTACACTGTAAAATCCAATCGAAGCAGCCATAAGGCGAAGAAGCCATAAGGCAGAAGTACTCGTCCAGTTCGGACAAAGCAGACATAAGTCGAAGTTCCCAGCACCACGGGTGCAATACAAGTGCTTTTTGGTCTGGTCGGAGTCTCAATGGCATTTTCACCTCACTCGTCATCGTCATCAGGTTCTTTTTGGACCATGGATTCATTCTCTTAGGCAGGCTACTTAGGTTTGTTTTACCAGGTATAGAACATGGTTCAACGTTTTGTTTCTCACATCACTCGTCATCGTCATCAGGTTCTTTTGAGGCCATGTATTCATTCTCTTAGGCAGGCTCCTTAGGTCAGATTTACTAGGTATAGAACATGGTTCAACGTTTTATTTCTCACCTCACTCTTCATCGTCATCAGGTTCTGTTTAGGCCATGTATTCACTCTCTTAGGCAGGCTCCTTAGGTTACTTTATAGCAAATGGTTTAGTTTTGATGAATCAATCATGTTTTGATACAGCAGGGAATTTTGTTATGCAGATTGAGCCGAACCTTGTCGGAACCTTTTCGGTCAAGAGCTCAGCAACAACTCAAGCTCTTTCTGCAGTTCCGGAACTCAGAATTTCCACTTGCCAATGTACCTGTGCGATTATTTGTTCTTGACGATGAGATGGAATTACAAATGAGGTCTTGGCTGAAAGGCTTTATCGTACAGTCTTGTGCATCGTTTTCATTTTGAACTCAAACGTACAGCATTTGCATACGCATTTCCTTTACTGTTAGGATTTACGACTTATAGAACACGGTTTAACTTTTTGCTTCTCACATCACTCGTCATCGTCATCAGGTTCTTTTAGGCCAGGTATTCATTCTCTTAGGCAGGCTCTTTAGGTCAGTTTTCTTAGGTAAAAACTAGGCGGCTTCCGTTTTTGCCCCATTTCGGGGCTAATGTGTGTGTGTACACCGTTATAACAAACGGTTTTAGTTCTTTTCGTTGCTCTTGTACTATTCTAAAAAGCAGGGGGCAGAGGTACCCATGTCACTTCCTCTGCCAACGAAGCTGGGTGACATGTGGTAAGGATATAGATCAGGGACGCCTGATCTACGTACCTGCTATAGTTTCAACTGTTGACTTTCTGTTCTTGTTTATGAGCTGTGCGTTGTTTCTTCGATCGGGAACCTGTGTCCGCTGAAATTCTACTGCCAGGCAACTCAGGAAATCAGGCGAAGACTATGACATCCTTCACACTTTTTACTGGCCATTACCCCACAGTGTGTGTTTGTGATCTCCGCCCCATTTCCGCCCGGAAGGGCCCGACTAAGGCAATCAACCTGCAGTTTTCCCATGCTGCAAATGTGATGGAAAACCTCCTTCAATCTTAAAGTGGGGTAATTCAGAGTGATTCCACCCAAATCTTGAGAAAAATCTAAAATTCAGTGGAATCAATTTTGTCATGAATGTTCGAACATCATAATTTTTTGTTTTTTTCAACTTCTTTGGTCGACCTGAAGAAATCTGACTTGATTTGTTCCCAGGTTGATAATTCGCCCTTTTTCATCCTTTTTCACAAATGATTCAGCCTTGGGTGGGAAATTGGCAGCCAAATTCGACCAAACCTTTTTTTCTGTGTTTGCTTGACTTCGCCAGGGTTTCTGAAAACTTCCATTCATGTCCATTCTGGATTTGATTCCCTGACCTTTTGTGCCTATTTTCAGCTATATTTGCTTTTAAATGTCAGCTGCAAAGTTTGGCTGCAGTGCTGATCACCCGTGATGGCATCTGAGGCTTCCGAACAAAGGACTCCCCGACAAGGAGACACCTGAGGAAGCAAAGGAACAAACCGGTCAAACCTTCTAAGAGCAGGCAAGGTTGGCCAAGAAACCCAGGGTATTGTATAGGGTATAACCGATTTCTTACTTTTGGTTGAACGTGTTGATTTGCGCCAACATGTTTATATGGGTTTGTTTGAAAATGGGATATGCCCATAGAATCCCATAAAATTGCTATTTGATAGGGAAAATGGTGACAAAGCAGTGGATTTAGAGGCACCACATTTTCAGACAAATCCATATGCACACCGCTGCATAACTGCTCCAACGGAGGGTGCGACATTGCCCTGAACCACCAGTTGTGGCCTCAGCGCTGTTGTTTCGGTGCAAAAGGTTCAGCGTTTGGCAACATGAACACATCTCCAGAAAAGTCCCGAGCGAACCCGCGCAAGGTGACAGGATATCTGGCAAATCATGCAAGGATGGAAACTCAGTCCATTTGCTCTTGAACCACAGGCGCTTGCGAATCAGCACTTTAGAATGTCAAACAGGTAAAGTCACGCTAAAGTCTTTTAACCTGTCAAGTGCAACCATTGAATGTTAGTGCTTAACCATTCTTAGCCTATGTCAATGCGTTAGATGTTTGACTGTTTGATGCAAAGTTGTGCATCTCTGTGGACTGTGAATTTTTGCTCCATGCACTTGCAGTGAAGACCCTTTCGGCTCAAAGGGTTGCAGGGTTTGGCTGGATCTTTTCAATAGAGTGTAGTCCAAGTTTTGGGCTCAGTGGCTCAGTGTTTTTCTCTGTTTTTTCTTTGGCATCACTTTGCATTACTCGGGCTGTTGGATTTTTTTTTGTGGTCCTGTTTCAGGCAAGTGATTGCAACGCAAACCACGCAACCATGGGAGGCGGGATCACTAAGCCAACACAAGAAAGAACATTCAATGTAGATTGACAATGTCATTGAAACATATTGAAACCATCTTATGCATTTGCTTTATTGGCATGCTTTTGGGGCAACATGCAGCAGGGTATGGCTGGACTGCCAGGAGCAAGTTCATACATTGCGATGCTTTGCATCGCCGGCTTTTTGGGTGCTACATGGACGGCTTCGAAAGTATCAAAGCGTCTTGGTGCTACCCAGACATGAGGTTAGAGATGGTTGGAATCATGCACCCTCAATGATTTCAATGGTCTTCAAAACAATGCTGCTGGACAAATGGCATCAATATGCATCAATTATATAGGTTCACTGACGGAACAGGTAACCCAAAGGAACGCTTCTACCCTGCCATTTTTGTTCAGGATACGGGCATGGCATATCAATTTTTGCCCGCATATCAAGAAAAACATGCAAATGCAAGTGACACTAAATAGGGGCTTCCTAAAATAGGGGGATCCCCAAAACCATGGGTTTCAATGCCTAACAAATGGTCTAATTTTGGATGTTTTGTGGGTAGCCCGACTTTAAAGATCTTCAAAGAACTTTGTTGCTTACAGTAGACTGACAGCTCATGGTGGGAATTGGCCGCAGCAGCGTGTCTAGTTGCAAATTGCTGTTCTGATTTTCAGCGCCACGTGCAAAGATGCAAGAGACGGAGCATGGTGCATATCGTTTGTTATTATTTTTTCACTTGGAGCGAATCCGAGGGTGCTTGGCATTTCAGACATTGTCCTCGTTATCACTACTGGTGTCCTTCTTGGCCCTGAGTGCTGCTGCCATATTTATTCTATTCGCACCTTTTAGTTGCGTTTCTTGTTGAGTTTCAAGACAGCAAGACAGACTGAATCATGGCTCTTGCACCCTTGACAGAGATGCATTCCAACTCATAGCATGTGGGTTTGTCTGAAAATAGAGTAAAGCCACCAACTGACCATTTCAATGAGGATAACGAGAATAATTAGTGGAATTGGCTGTTTTCACATTATGTTTACAACAAATCAATGTTTCTTGTTCTGTTTTCGACTCACCAAACCTTTGGTCGGCTGCCAGCATCATCGGGCTCATCAGCAAGGAGTACACTGTTTGCTCACAAGCAAGGTCCGACAGCCCACTTTGTTCGATGATTTGCGTATAGTCTTCATGGTGATTTTCCATGGCAAACTGGCACAAAATTAGCGGAGGGCACATCGCAGGCTTTGTGAAATGTGTATTTGACACTGTTCAGGCACCATGACTGCGATGTCCCCGACCTAGAGTACAAGGCTCCAGCGGCGCAGGGGGCTGAAATTACATCAAGGACTTAAGAGCCCATTGTGGAAAGTCTCATTTCTTTAAATTCTTTTCCGTCGTGCAAAAGGATCGAATGAAATGCAGGGTAGATTGTTATAGGGTGACTCTGAAAACGCAATGCAGGTAGCAAATGGAATGCCACTTGGAGAGGTGCAGATGTGCAGCCTGTGCAGCCCGATGTCCATGCGATTTGCCTGAAATCTTGTCTTTGATGCAAGTGTCAACCCGCTGTCAGCACTTGGGGAAGATCCAGCACATGGGGCTTTGCAACCCAGAAGAGTGCGCCACCCGGAATGATGCACTGTTTCTGGTGCTGTGAACAAGTTTGCTTTTGCACACATCTCTTTGAGTCTAAGATAGTCTCAGTATCTAGATAATGATGAATCTGCCCGTGCCTGCCAGTTACCATCACGAAGAGCATGCTGCGCACTCCAACGCTACAGACCACGGTGATGGTGCCTTGTCATGCAAGCTGCTTTTTTTTTGCTTCCATCTACAGACCTACAGACGTTGTGAAGACATGAAAGTTCTGTTGAGGAAGTCATCAGAGCGGCCATGACTCTACTGGTGATCACGGCGATCACGGCGATCACGGCACAGCCACGGAGCACTCTGACGAGCACTCGGGAGATCACACGGCCGCAAGTGGTGGAACCCATGATGACACGGCGGCTTCCCATGGCGACCATGCTGATGCTGGAGATGCTCATCACGGTGATGACCATGCACAAACCCATGAGGACAGTGGGTCGTGTCCGTCTCCCCAAGCTGTGTTTGCTGATCACAACTTGGACATTTTTTCGATGTTTTGCAGCTTATCCATGCAGAAATCAGACGCAATACATGTACCTGTAGTTTTTCAAAACAAATCAAGAGTCGAGGTTATATAATTTTAGCGACAGTCCTTTTGAGGGTCGACTATTGGTACATTATGTTTCGCTTGGAAGGACTCTCATGGCAACCACGGAAGGTTTCTTGGCTAAAGTCTTGGTTCGAATCCTCAGACAGATATATATACGTATCGTATATACCTATTAGTAGTATAATGTAGTGTACTATAATGTATTATATATATAATATATAATAATAATAATAATAAAATAATAATAATGATAATAATAATAATGTTAATAATAACAACAACAATAATAATAATAACAATAATAATGATTAACAATAATAACAATAATAACAATAATAATAATGATAATAATGACAATACCATAATAGTAATAATAACAATAATAATAAAATAATAGTAATAATAACAATAATAATGATAATAATAATAACATATATCATATGTATATAGACGTATATGTGCAACTGCTTGCCTTTCTCCCAGAACGGACATAATCATCCAGTAGCAGAGCAGTCGTGTGCCAGTCATCGACGTCTGTCTGGTGGCGGTGGGAACTACGCCTCGTACGAGGTGCCCATATTACGGTAGGAGTGGCTGCTAAAAGCGGAGAACTGTTGGGGAATTATACCCAATACATTACCCAATATATTGGTATATATATATTATGTATATATATATACATTATATATATGTATATTATGTATATATATATTATGTATATATATATATATATTATATTATATATTATATATTATATATATATTATATATATACATTATATATATATATAATATTATATATATATATATTATATATATTATGTATATATATATATATTGGGGATTATCGCAATCCATTTAAGATTTTATATATTTCTTGAATTTCGAAGCTATTTATACACGCAGCAAAATACAGGGAGTTCACTGGCAGTCGTCAGAGAAATCAAATGGTGTCTACTCTGGTGGTCATGAAAGTGGTACTCAAGCTATAATTGGCCATTATGTCAGGGAGGGCTAATTATTTTAGGTTTTTTTTTTTGATCAGGTTTGGGAATTATTTTTGGATTCCTGCTTCTCTGCTTTTCCTGCTTCTCTGCTTTCCTGCTTTTCCTGCTTTTCCTGCTTTTCCTGCTTTTCCTGCTTTTCCTGCTTTTCCTGCTTTTCCTGCTTCTCTGTTTTTCTGCTTTTTTGCTTTTCTGCTTCTCCTGCTTCTCTGCTTTTCTGCTTTTCTGCTTTTTTGCTTTTCTGCTTCTCCTGCTTCTCTGCTTTTCTGCTTTTTTGCTTTTCTGTTTTTCCTGTTTCTTTGCTTCTCTGCTTTTCCTGCTTTTCCTGCTTCTCTGCTTTTCTGCTTTTCCTGCTTCTTTGCCTTTCTGCTGTTTTGCTTTTGTGCGTTTCCTGTTTCTTTGCTTCTCTGCTTTTTTGCTTCTCTGCTTTTTTTTGCTTTGCCTGCTTTAAATACTTGATTTTCATGTAAGATGCATTTTGCACAGTATTTACATCCCTGAGTATTACATGACCAACCTTCTCTTGAAAACTAGCAACGGAACATGTGAGAAGAGGTGCTTGCATTCTGCTTTGGGGGGAGGCGCTGCGCCCTCCCCCAATCCCCCCCTCCCGCTTTTTCTTATTTAAACTTAAACCCAAGTTACATTAGTTGGTTTTTGCGAACTAACCTTCTCTGGAAAGCTGACAGGATTACATGTGATAGATAGATAGATAGATAGATAGCTGATAGATAGCTTGGTAGATAGATAGCTAGATAGATACATAGCCAGCTAGATAGATAGATAGATAGCTAGAGAGATAGATAGCTAGATACCTCGATAGATAGATGGCTAGATAGATAGCTAGATAGATAGATGGCTAGATAGATAGCTAGATAGATAGATAGCTAGCTAGATAGATAAAGAGGTAGCTAGATAGATAGCTAGATAGATAGATAGATTGATAGAAAGCTAGATAGCTAAATAGGTAGGTAGATAGTTAGCTAGATAGATAGCTAGATAGATAGCTCGATAGCTAGATAGCTGGATAGACAGCTGGATGGCTAGATAGATAGATAGCTAGATAGATAGAAAGCTAGACAGCTAGATAGCTAGATAGATAGTTAGCTAGATAGCTCGATAGCTAGATAGCTGGATAGACAGCTGGATGGCTAGATAGATAGATAGCTAGATAGAAAGCTAGATAGCTAGATAGCTAGATAGATAGTTAGCTAGATAGCTAGATAGGTAGATAAATAGCTAACAAAATAACTAACTAAATAGGTAGATAGATAGCTAGATAGATAGATAGCTTGCTAGATAGCTAGCTTGCTAGATAGATAGCTAGATAGCTAGATAGCTAGCTAGCTGGATAGATAGCTAGCGCCCTCCCTCAATCCCCCCCACCCGCTTTTTATCTAATCCCAAGCTTCCGCATCTGTAAATATTTGGGTGAACATGCTCACATGTAGAACATCCCATACAAAATGGAAGGTGAACATGCCCAAATGTGGCAAATACCATGCAAAATGACAAATTCAAGTTCCAAACCGTTGCAAACACTAGGCAAATGGTACCAGCCAAGAAATCCAAAAACAATTCCCAAACCTGCTCAAAAAAAATCCTAAAGCTATTTCACACCCTTATGTCAGGAAAACGATCAGGATTTTTTCTCTGACTTCCAGACGTTCACGTTGATTTTGAAGGGTTGAAGCACTTGGAACGGAGGGAAATCGTTGGGACGCATGACAGTCAGGAGTGCCTCGTCAAGAGCTGCCATTCAGAGGCTTCGGACTAAGTTCTGCAGCCTCGGAGTGCGCTCCTTCTGTGTGATCTGCGCCTGAAAGTGAGTGCGTCTCTAAGATCTCGCACGAGTGCCAGCTCACTCCAGATGTCTTCACCCTCATCGGACATGCAGGCAGTTTTTTTGGCATTCATGAGTTTCCCTTATCCAGTCTGTGTGTTGCTTCAACTTGCAGCTCGCCCACCTTGCTCAAATTGAAACAACTACTGATACGTTCTGTTGTTTCTTGCAGGAGTGGCTCTGATGATTTTTGAAAGTGGCATGCACTTCGACTTTGAGAAAGCGAAGGCAGGTTTTCCGGGTGCTTGTTTCCCATGGCATTCGTTGGAAACTTGGCAGCCGGCTTGGCTGACAGATCGTGGGTGCCAAAGCCTGTCTAGTTGCCGCAGGAATCTCAGTTCTTTCGTGCCCTTGTCTTGTGGCAGTCTGCCTACAAATCAGGGAAGGTCACAGTTGTGAAAGTCCATTGAGGTCTTGGGTACCGTTACACCCTTGGTGGCTGGTGCTATTTTGACGATGATCTTGGGCTATGGGTTGGACACCAAGTTTTGCTGACAGCACATCTGTTGAAGATTTTGGCCGAGGCCTGTCATGACGCGTGTCGTGGAATCGTGGAATACATGGCATGAATGCCATGGCGAATTCTTAGGAAGCCTTCTGGAAAACCTAGAGTCAAACACACCACCCGAGGGCACAGGGTCAGAGCATAGAGTTTTATTAGTTTCAAAGTTGTTATTTATTTGGTGGATCATGTCTCTAAGCCACAGACAACACATGTGAAAGTACTTCCGTGCGGGGCATAGCGCACGTGCTGCCAGTATTTTTAAGTATACGCTTACTTTTTAGCCAGCATGCATTCGATCCCCGCTGGATTTCTAGGACAGTTCTGCAGTCAAAAGAGACATGCAGGATTGTGTCAAATAGTGCGGCACGTCTTACACTCAAGCAGAACAACGAGCATAAGGTGGTTATTTATAGTGAAGAACCCTGAGCACAGTCCACAAAAAACAAAACAAAGTGAGGAACCCGTATGATTTAAAGCAACAGGCTGTTGGTTTTGCCCTTTTGACCTTTGGCTCTGACCTATCTGCGCCTTGAGGTTCTTTCCTCAAGGAATCTCAGCTGGTACCGCGTTGGCGCCAACAAGTCCCGTGCTCATCAATGAGCTGACGAATGTCAACTTTTGTTACAGGTCCTGTATACTGAATACACATTTTAGAGTTGACAAATGGCGGTTGGCTGATAGATCATAGCTTAGTTCGGGGGGAAATACTACCCTGAATATATAAGGAAAGCACAAGAACAAGCCATGCCATTTTCCTGAAACATCAGGCAGTCGATTTTATCAGTAGTCATACAAACACATAAATGCAGATTTTTCGCATCACCTGAGGCGTTGGTATTGCTTTGCGCCTTTTGGGTGAGGCAGGAGTTCTGCAAGAAAACTTCGGACAGGCGGGCAGAACTCCGGACTCTGCACACAGACAAGGACTTTATCAGTATACAGATATACAGTGTATATATCATATAGATATTATATACATGTATAATAGAGGATATATGTATCAATACATATGACATATGTATGTATATGTACTATATATATACATATATATATATATTTATACATACAATCAATAAGAACAATAAGACTTTAATTCACCTTGGAAGGCAATTATCACTGCCGCTTTTGTTGATGACATCCTGTCCCTGGCGTGGACCTGAAACTGAAATTCGATCATCGCTGCTTCCGCTGCCCGCCTGTGTGTTGGTAGAGTCCCAGAGAGTCTCAGGTCTTGTTCAACATCCTGTTTTCTTTGGGTGGAGAGTTGCGCACTTAGCCAATTCAACTCGGGTCACGTGAGTTGCACGGCGACAGAATTGGGCCGTTTCTGAGGTTTGATTTTGTCCAAGTGGTTGTGAACCCCGTCGTCGGCATCGCTCTCATGCTCATCGCAATGGTGACTCAGTTCATGTTTAGCTTATGTGCTGCGAATGTATAAAAGCTCTTGATGCAAAGCGGAACTGCATTACCAGAGATATGTCACTCAGCTTCTCTCATCTTCTCTCAACAGTGCCCTGTGCAGTACGCTGCAATGGCGTTTTGGCCAAAGTTCATCAATGGAGTTCAGCCGACGAGTTTGGTGGTTCATGGTGGTTCGGAAGTTCGGGTTTGAATCAGGTCTGCGGAATCCTCTCCACCAACGCCACTAGCTGGGGATGATCCCAAACATGATATAATAAATATATATATAACATGATATGATATAAGTGTCTTGTTTTCTTCTTAACTCTTATATAATAAATAGGAGGTCTTAGCAGACGTATTGTGTTGGATCTCAGACAGATGAAAAGCTGCCTGATTCTGCCAGTGGCTGCTGCCCAAAGTGCCAGTGAAGGAGGGTGCCAAGGCTGGTCCAAGCAGCTTGGTGGACCCACTGGACAACATAAGACAAGCACCTCGCATCATAAGACAACTCATCGTGAATGCACAGATCACATCCTGTAACAAAAATGCGACGGGTTGTCCAGGGTTATATCGCATGTGTCTGTCTTGTAGAGTGGAGGTTTCCTTTCTTTTGGCTTTGGGGTTGGCATACCTTGGCTTTTCGTTCTGGCATACGTCTGGGTAGATTTGTGGCCCCAAGTCTTGGTCCATTGCATCTGAAAGACTGGTGATGACACTGCTTGGATACGCTACGACTCTATGCACAAAGCCTGCTTGAATTTGAGGGCCGGAGTAGGAGACTTAGAATGGATCATGTTGTTTGAACAAGAATAAGGTGGATTTCTGCAATGCCATCCTAGCTGCTACTGTAGGTCAGACCCGTATACATAATCTATAGAGGCCACATGACATGCCTGTGTTTCTGAAAGCCGTCCGTTGCCGGCTTGCCTTTGCAGGTGCCGCAAACCGATGAGGCAAGGACAGGAAGCACAGTTTTATCATCTTGTTTCCAGCATTTGCAACCAGATGGGGTTGTGTGAAAACGGGGTATACGTACCATGCTGTACCTGAAGAATGAAAAAAAAACTCGGGAACATGATGATTAATTAGCAATTTTAGCGGATTTTAGAGGTACATTCTTGGACAAACCCACATGTCAAAAACTTGCAAACGGACAGGTCCTTTTTCTTCTGATGATAGTTTTGCTCGTCTCAATCTCAAAGCCGACAAGACTTGAGCACAAGTCTTTGGTTCATTACGGATTCATCACGGATTCATCACGTGTGCAATCTGAAATCTTTTGATGTTTTTGCAGCCTTCGCTTTTGCAATCTGCTTAGCTCACGTATGCGACCATCACGTACTTCCTTGGTACCCACCTGTGGTCCTGGCCAGTCTTAGAGTCTTAGAGCATGACCAGCACCAAGCGGCTTTGACACCGGCGCAAGAGCCAGGTGGGGTTGTTTCATTGCTGGCATGTCCTTTGCATGCCTGGCTCCGCCGCACCATGCCCACCATGTGCCTAGCTCAGTGGGTTTGCGGCGACTAATTAGTGACTTAGTGACTGCTTAGATCTGCTTAGTAACTACTTTGTGACTATTTGTTTTTCGTTTGGCGTTAAGAGACTGCCAATTCAGCGCAGGTTTGGGTCAAGCAGACCAAGCGTGTGACCTCTTGGATGATCAGTCTTCACCTTGGGCAAACAAGTGGCAACAAGTCACAGACGTTACAATCTGGCCATGGGATCTGCTGTTAGCGTATGGCACCATGGGGCACCATGTATTTGAGTGCCAAGGGATCTTCTTCGCATGCACTGTAGCCTTCGCGATCCCAGTTGCGAAGTTGCTCTCTATCGACGTGCCTTCGCACGCTTGACTTGACGCTTTCAGTTAGCTTTAGGCAAACATCAAGGGTGATGCTGATGGACCTTAGTCTCTTTAATTGAAGCAACTCTGCATGCTGAGCGATTCCGTTCAAGATTCAAGAACTTGTTTTGACTTCTTTGCAAAAAAGGGTCGATGCTTTTTGGGACGCTTTGATTCCAGGCGTTTTGGAAGGGAGCCATCATGGGCGCGATTCCTTGCATCCTCACGAAAGTTTGCTGCGCTCCGTTCATGGGAGATGCAACTTGACTCAGTTGTTCAGTGGCACCTGAAGCTCAACACCGGAATTATGCTTGTAACTTGCAATTATGCAACTGCTTTGCATGGTATTTTCAAACAAAGAGAGAGCATTCCAATTTTTAGCAGAGGCAGAAAACAAACGATCATGGAATCACAGTATGGAACCGGGGAAGAGCTCTGAGGCCAAGTGGGTCATCGGATGGGCTATGGTTGGCAGCCACCTCAGCCACCGATGTTGCTTCTATCTTGAAGAAATTCAATTAATGGCGACACCTTTCCTTTTTTTCTAGCAACCAATGGGGAAGTCGATCCCTTAGTCCTAGCCTGAGGTCGAGCAGAGTTTGCCTACTTGATTGCGCAAATGGCAGCAGCAGCGGGCATGCTGTCTCAGGACAGCTTCGTCATTTGCAGCAGTCGGCACAGTGGTGCTGTTGAGTATCCAGAATCTCCATGTCTCGGTGTCGGCCATTGGAGTATGACCCTTTTTTCTCAGATTCACAGCTATTGGCTGTTTATCCCAATAAATCCCAATAAGCAATATTCATTCACATCCAATTTATTCCAATTTAGTATTGACAAGGACATGTTCTCTGTGGTCATTTGGGCCTTGCTGTGGGCCACAATCTTTGCACCGCCTGAGCCTCGATGAGTCGCTACAGTAAATCATGCAATTGGGAGTCGTAGATCCCTTGCAGCCACTTCCATTGCGTTGCGTTGTGTCCAAGGTTCGTTTTCCGATATGTGCTGAACAAGTATGTGAGGGCGCAAGGTGGCAAGTGTGCACAACAGTTATAGGATTAGTCAGCAGAAATGTGAACCGAAAAACTCGTCGCGAAGCAGCCGCTTGAATCTTAACACTCCCATGCTCCAATCCAGTGCGTGCAGGCTTGGCTGACAGGGAGCCAAATCCTGGCTATGGTGAGGATGAGGCCGAAGCCAGTAAGAAAACTCACCAAAAAAGTGCTGAGTGCATTATCTATCCGGTGCTTCGGAGGCAGCTAAGGTGTTACAGTTATCCATATTCTCTTTGAATGGGGAGCCAAGGAGCTACTAAGAGTTTCCCAACCACAAAGGTCATTGCCATGGCCGACATCCTGTGAAGCTGTGCATGCTGTGCACAGAGTGGGATTCCTTGCTCTTGTATCTCTGCTTGGAGGATGGCTATTCGATTTCAGAACCCTCAGAGAGGGGAGACTTGGTTGGAAGCTCAGAAGCGGCAAGGTTGGGAGTCTTGGTGTGCTCACAAGACTCCCGATAATTTCATTTTATAAACTTCTCCACGCGAGGCCTCAGATCAAGAATACAAATCCAAGATGGAAGAACTCAAGGCTGACTGTGGCAGCGATTGTCCGTGTGGAATCAAAAAACGTGTATGATTTGATTTTACACATGAAATAGACATTGCACAGGTGTACCCCTGCGGGAATTGAACTATCTGGCAATCGTTTGCTACCTGTCTTAGGGGCTCTCGATGTAGGAGGATGGACGGGGATTCCAGCTGAAAGATGTGAGTTTGGCTGAAAGATGTTACAGGGCTTCCCGGTGACCATCGCACAGCTAATCTAAGAGCTGCCGCTCCCTGCAGCCGACCCAGTTGTGTGGTGAAAGGACATAGTTAGCTAGATGGATCGTAAAAGACGTGAAGGCACCCAGACAGGAAAAGTCACCCTTGAGAAGTCTCAAACACCATGACAGTAAATTTGGAGCGGGCATGTTGGTGCCGCTGCAAGGTGCAGCGGCTGTCAGAGTGGTGTATGTGCTTTGAAGCGCGGCTGTCAGAGTGTGTGCGCTTTGGAGCGGGGATGGTGGTGCCTCTGCAGGGTGCTGCTACAAGGTGCTGCTTGAGGGTGCTGCTGTTCGAGTGGCGTCCGCTTTCGAGCTGCCTGCTGGGCACGCCCTTGAGGGTGCTGCTGTCACAGTCGTGCTTTCGAGCAGGCATGCTGGTGCCGCTGCGGGTGCCGCTGCAGCATGCCGCTGCAGGGTGCTGCTTGAGGGTGCTGCTTGAGGGTGCTGCTGTCAAAGTGGCTGCAGGGTGCCGCTGCAGGTGAAGGACGAAAATGCGCCGGCAGCGCCTCACGTTGAATGACACCTTCGTTCAAACGCGCGCCCCATTGCTGCCAGCCTGGGGCGGTGGATTTGCGCGTGAGCAAACCCGAGAAACCCATGAATTTGCATTTGTCCATTGTGGTGGTAGCGTTGTTCAACGGTTGTTACAGTGTTTGCACTTTTGTTTTTGTTTTTTGCACGCTTGACTTTGTTTGATTATACAAATGGTCGCACGTAGCATGTTTCATGGTTTCGGATGCATGTCCTTTGTGACACTGCTGTGTTGTCGCCAGAATGATCCTGCGCAGGTGGCGCCAGTGCCAGTCGAGACACCGGCGCAAGGGCCTTGAACAAACATTGCTGGCATGCCGCTATTTTTCTTTGGTTTCCCCCTGTGTTCGCTTCTTCGATCTCATTGGCCCTGATGATTTGAGTGGGGTCCTTTCATTGCCGTCATTGCTTCTGACCTTTTTATCTTCATCATTGCCTTTTTGCTTTTGCAGGTTGTCCTTTTGGGTGTGTTTCACTGGTGTATGGCGATGTCCAAAGGTTGGGTTTGCCCAAACATGGGGTATGTATGCCCATTTCTGTGGCAAATCACTAAAAAATCCATTGGATTTTGGGGTATCCTAGTTTTGGACAAAACCAGATTTGATTTGTTGGCGCTTCGGTCTGGCTTTGCTCAAACTGTCGTAACCCGATGTTCTGCTGGGCTTTAGGCCTGGAGGCAAGGGTTCCGAAGCCCGTTGCTGTGCTTTCAGCCGAAGCGTGCTCTCCGGCATGTGTTTTGGGTGGTTGGTACAACAGGGTTTGAACAGATGCTGCGTGTGGATTGATGGATATAAAATATTATAAAATCACATATAGTGACTAAAATCACATATATATCATATATAGTGACTAGTGTATATAGATGCCATTATGTATATTATGTCATGGTATATATAGATGCCATGATGTCATGATGCATTGAAAAAATACTGCCATCTCGAAGTCGATGTTGGCCAGGTGGTGTGAGGCCTTCATGCTGTGCAGTGACAATCGTTTCACTGCAATTTTAGGCCTTAGCCGTTGCTTAGAAGGTAGAACGTGGTGCAAGTGTGAAATTAGAACCAGTAAAAATCAATGAATCTGACTTCAACTTACAATTTTTCCGACCACAACTGTAGCGTGGTCTGAGTGAAAAACATGGTTTTGCTCCACACTTGCACCACCATTTTTCTTTCTTTCAATTCTATTCTTTCGGGCAAAGCCCGTATTGGCAACCCCGCTCCTCCTCCAATACTAACTCGAAGATGAATATGTTTTTTTTTTAATGTTCTTGATGTTGAAACTTTCCAGGTCTTTGGTTTGATTCTGGTGTGCACCCTGCCTATATAGAGGATTCATTCGTTGCCCTAAAGTTGTTCAATTCTTCGAGTCAACTTCTGAGGATCGGCACACTTGTTCACTGGCACAGCCTGAAGTTTGCACGAGCCTACGCATAAAATGCTCCATTGGCTCACACATTACTGACGGGTGGTCAAAGACTTACATCAGTTTGTGGGCTTTGTGGCTTCGTTGAAGAGTTTTTCTGCAAGGGCAAATCGAGATTTTGCTATCTCAGCACAGGTTTGTTTGAAGAGAGGAAGCCACTAACAGACACCCTTTTTGGAAGGCTTGTGTTAGATCCTGAGAAAAGGTTTTGTGCTATTTTTTTAATGGACAGATACATTTGATAGTTTTTTGCTTTCGCGAGCCTCCTGAAGATTGAAGAAAGAATCAAGGGTCCGCCCCAAACCGTGAGATCCTGAAAGGATTCACTGCAACTTGCAAACTTAGGAGAGCTTCACGATAAGTTGGCTCGAAACAGTTGCATGATTTTGCCTGCTGGGGTGCCTGAGACAAACCTTTTTTCGTTTCTCATGGAATCCTCTTGTGGAAAGCAACATGTTGATTCAAACTCAAAACCGCAGTTGCGCTGGGCTGCAGACATTCAGCTACAGGACTTGAGTGTCGAAGGCACTTCACATTTGAGTGGGTGCCTCAGACTATGAGAGTGTCCCTGCGGCCGAGGAAAACGTGGTATCTTTCTTAGTTTGAGACCTATGACCTATATTGACCTATATTGACCTATCGTTTTAAACCCGCAAAAACCTTGAGGTGGGTGATTTTTTTTGTGGTTTAAGGCTTTTATATATATAGGCTTTTGATGCTTTTTTGTTGGCTGGTTTTTTCAGCCTGGCTCCGTGGCTCCAGCGACTGGACATTTCCAATTGTCATTTTTGGAAAAGAATAAGACACCCGACTTGAAAGCCCAAGAAGCTCAGAGTCAGCATTCTGTTTGACTGTCTAAGAGTCTAACCACTGTGTGCTCGATGGCCTGTGCATGATTGAGTTGATGGTCATGAGCGGAATCTCTTCACCAGGCCTTCTTAATGAATCTACGCAAGTCAGGATAGAAACTCTGACGCGACGAAGAGCTATTTGGTGGTTTCCCGGTTTTGGTTGCCGATGGTTTTCTGGATTCTCAACTGTCAACCACAATCCACCCATATAACACAGAAACTGGCTGGACGACCTTCTTCCACTGCATTATTGATAGTATATTGTTGGGTGAAGGAACATAGGGAATTTCCATGAATTAAAACATATTAAAATGCCTCCAGTGGCGTTTTGGCTTGGCTTGATCTCAATTCAGGTTTTTGGAGAGTTCGAGTTTGTCACCTCCGTGTTTGCAGACGATCTCGCTTGTGTACCAACTCTTTTCCTCGGCGCTCATTGTGGCTTTGCGACTGGGCAGATGGCACGTCCAAGCTGATACGGCTGATACGATTCACATGACCAATCCCTACGGACAAGTGGTTGGTGTGATCGTTTATAGATGTTTTAGATGTTTTAGATGTTGATAGATGTTTATAGATGTTTATAGCAACCCCCAAGAAGATAGAACATAGAATCCTACAAAGATAGTGATGATGTACTTATCCTATCTTTTTGGCAGTTGCTATATGCATATTCTGACTGCTGATCTAGGGTGAGCCTGACATCGCAGTCTCTCTCTCTCTCTCGCACCTGAAACTGTCTTAGGTTCATTGTCGACAGTCAGACGATGAGCCAGCAAACTACGAATTTCTATCACAACATGGAGGTGTGCGCCACAACTGTTTTCACAATCGAGTACATAATGTGCCTTGAACTATTTATACAGTGTAGCTTTTCTTGTTTTCATTGTTGCCAACATGTTGCAGCTCTGTGAATTTTGCAAAACATGCAGATTCTTCAAAGGCGAGTCTACAGCTGTGTGGAATCAGAGATAGATGTTGACCTGATTCCCGGATGGTCGCGCTGCAAGATGCGAGTATGGCTCATGTGTTCTGCCGCTTCAATTATTGATACGGTCTCGCTGATCTCGCTGTATTTGGATGTGTGTATTGCCTCGAATGTTTTTCGAGGAGTGGTATCCCTACGGCTTCTTCGACTGTTCACCCTGTTTCGTTTGGAGCGAAGACACAAATTCTTCTCCCCAATCTTGATTGTGATCTCCAACAAACGGACTGAGCTTGGTGCGACTTTAGGCATTGCAGGTTTGCTGCTGCTGATCTCTTCCACCTTGATGTACTATGTGGAGTCTGCGGTGAATCCTAAGTTCAACAGCATTTTGGCATCCATGTGGTGGGGGACTGAAACTCTCACAACTGTGGGGTATGGGGACATAATTCCGGAGACTCCTGGCGGAAAGGCACTGGGCTCCGTTGTGGCATTTGCCGGCGTTGGCTTGTTTGGGCTGCCGGCTGGTATCATCTCTTCTGGATTTTCGGAGATTTTCTCAAAAGGACATGATCCTTGCTGCCTTGCTTTCAGCAGAAGCTTTGAAAAACCGTTGTTTCATGATTTTCATGTTGCTTCTGAAGAAAGTACAGACACTGGAATTTATGACTTCACAAGTTATCAAAAGTAATGGCTGGCATACCCTTTGCCCAGCTTGTTGCAGTCGCTGGAGCAAGACTAGAAATCCTGCAGAATTAGTCTGAACAAAAATTTCTGTGCTTTTGAGGATCAGTGCAAATGCCAGCAGCTGGAAGCAGATGTTGCCCGCCTGGTGACTTTGCAGAAAGATGTGCTTGCAGAGCTTCAAGGACTAAGATCTCAAGTTGCGGCTCTGCAGCATGTTGCCTCAGAGGAGAAACCTGGAAAAAGGAGCAGCCACGGCTGATTTTTTTCGGATCCACAAGCAGTTTTAGGGCACCTCATGGACAACAGAAACAAGTTCATAAGTTTGCTGCCAAAGTGCAGTGCTGCAAAACAAAGCTTTTGCGTTGCAATATTTCTGCGATAGCTTAGAACTTTAATAGCAAGACCAAGAGACAAAGAAAGGTGCATAGCAGCGAGGAGCAAAGAAGAACTCTAGCATTGCAGCAACCTGAGGATCTAAGCGACAAACAAAAAGATCGGTCGACTCGAGGATTTTAATGTTTGGAAACCCGAAATGATTTCTAATTTTGATTCAGTCTTTGTTCTAAATGGTGTGGGCTATCTCTCTGTCTCTCTGTCTCTCTCTGTCTCTCTCTCTGTCTCTCTCTGTCTCTCTCTACCTACCTACCTTGCCTAGCTGTTTGTGCATGGCCGGCCTCCTCGCGGCACCAGCGGGACTTGGTCGCAGTTGCCCTGTGACTGGACTGGGTGCGAACGGCCATGGGAATGCTAAAGTCTGTCTATCTGTCTCTCTCTCTCTCTATATCTAGCCGTGTGTATCCTATATCTATCTGTCTGTCAGCATCTCTTGCTAGAGCTCTCCGGTTTTGTCTTGGTTTTTGTTCTCTCTTCACCTTTTTTTCTTTACCCAATCTCTGCATATTTCCTTTGTAAACTATAGGAAAAGGCTATCTGGTCTGTTAATGGTGTGTTACTCGCTGAAAACCAAAAGGTGTGCTGTGAATTAGGAAGATGCCTTGGCCGCTAGGTTGGGTAGAGTACCAGGGTGTCAGGATGTTTCCGAAAATCGCATAGATTTGAAGGAACTCATGCGCTAAGTTTAAGGCTTCCCCCAACATGAAAATGTGAGTACACCTGTTTCAATGATAGTTTCATGTTTTTCGGCCACACATGGGGGGTATTCTAAATAGACTATAGCATACTATATACATACATACAGGCACCCTATATGTGGGGCCCAAAATGTATATATATATATATGTACATACAGACACACGCTGCTACTTTTACAACCCAGTTTTATTTTTGATCTTCAGGGCATCGAAGGTTGGTCATGAGATGATAAATTTGCAAGATGACATAACGAGTAGATATTGGTCTGAATTTCTACATGTCAGTGTGCTTGTACATCAGGTTTGGCGGTAGAAATGGCCCGCATTCCAGTCAACTCCGATCAATTTCCATACCCTCCAGTAAATTAGTAACTAACAGTTTGCTATGGAAATAACCCCTTTATAGGTGATTTACCTATAAACATGGTGACTTTCAATAGCTATGTCAACTTACCAGTTAAGTGTGGCACACGATTCGATATATATAGATGCCAGTTTGCGCCAGTTTGGATCGCCTGGGCCTGGTTGATGTTTTGCATCAACATCCCCCGGAGTACATGATCATGTGTTTACTATGGGAGGACGTTTCATGACTTTGACGGTCCACTTACCTCCGAGGATTTCAACCAGTTTGATGAACAAAGACATCATCAACTGAGAACAGCCAATCGTTTCACGAGAAACTTCTGAGCCGAAAAGACACGGAAATCGCTTAGGATAAGAGCGCGGAAATGCACAGCGCAGGCTGAAGGTGACACAGGATTTGGCCATGTTGCTGTTTTGCCATGTTTTGTTTTCCAAAGACTTCCATTCCATGCCATGGTTCATTTGAAACGAGATCACCAAGGAGTTCATGAAAACTGTTTCATCATTGTCTTGATAAACTGCAGTTGTCCTGACAACACTAGGAGTGGAACATACTGCAGTTGTTTGATTCCTTGGATGTTTTGCCGGACATGGTTCAAGCTCGATGACGGGTTTCAAAGCCAATCTTCGGCACATGACTTATGTGTCTTTGCTGAAGTCCTTGTTATGTTTGATGCGCAACACTGGCCCTTTCGAAGTCACATGCAGGGTCTGACACGATACTTTTAACAAATTTCAGAAATCAGATCATGCTAATATACCTGCCACAGTTGGATTCTTGACATCACGTTTCAGACCATGCTTATTTTCATAGCCAAGATGCAGTTCCTGCTTTCATCCTTTGATCTCAGGTCTGCTAAATTGCTTTCGGTCGTGGTTTCGAGGGCTCCACTGCCAACGTGCTAGCGTGAAGCGCGACTGCATGATTCGCAACCTTTGGATTGGATTGCAACTTTCCTGTGAAAAGTCACAGCTTTGACAACCTATTGGGTGCATCATGTGAGTTGGTCCAAACATGCTGCTGCATACTTGAAGTTTCGATTGGATTGAGTAAGAATTCTCGAATTGGCACAGGCATAGAGAGTTGTCACAAGCGAGATGTGCTACTTAGGTGCGTCCAAGTAGTGTTGTCTTCCAGAATAGCTGCAGACAACATCTCTGACCATGCCCATCGCGAATTTGACCGTGGATTCTCTGGACCTGCGTTGAAATTGGTGATTAATTCCAACAAGTTCTATTGGAGGCCGCGGATTTTTGTACCACGGGTTGCGAGAGGCGAAGTTGTTGGGACTGTTTCGTCACTTCTTGAGCCTGACCACTGATATCCACTGGCAAAAGTTGTCTCTGAATGGAAGATACAAAAAGATACAAACAGGTACTAAAAAAAATCATACAAAAAACATACGACATACAAAACATCCCGTGGATATTAGAAATGGTGGGCTGGAGACTGAAGAAGAACTGAACTAAACCTATATAGTGAGAGATCTCATCATGACATATTACATATTCTTTTCCTTGGCTTGGTTTTGCAGCCTAGCTTATTCGCTTTTTATTTCCTGCTTGATAGAGCCTGGCTTTGGCTGCATGACGCGAAACACATTTCTTGAAAACATACGCAGTTTGCGGAGATGCCTTGCGACTTGCCACAACAGCGAGACTAACTTAACATGGACATGTATGTATATATACTGTATATATATATATATTATCAAAGTTTAAGATAGGTGTAAATGCGTTTTGGGATGTATGATGGATGTTGGGTACGTACGATGGTTGGGTGCGGTGGTGCGATGGTACGGTGCGATGGTACGATGCGAGGTGCGATGGTACGGTGCGATGGTACGGTGCGATGGTACGATGGTACGATGTGAGGTGCGATGGTACGGTGCGATGGTACGATGGTACGGTGCGATGGTACGATGGAAGGTGCGATGATAGGATGTGAGGTGCGATGGTGTGGTGCGATGGTACGGTTGCAGGTGCGGTGGAATGATACAGTGGCAGGTGCGATGGTAGCATGGGAGGTGCGATGGTACGGTAGTAGGAGGTGATGGTGCGATGGTGTAGTGCGATAATATATATATAATATATATAATATATATATATATAAATAATGTCCTGGTGAGAAAGGACATTTGATAAGCTAAAGATATTTATCACCTATTTGATGACTGATAGTGGGTTCGGAGGCCACTTGAAGTTACGTGATGTTTAATGTTTTTCATCTATCTGTACTGCGCGTCTATATGCTATTCTCATCTGATACCTTATATCATTGTTTAGAGTGATGATTGTGTTTTTTAGGGTATATATGGGATTTAGTTTGGTATATGATCTTGATGATGTACAGCATGCTGTATGTTGATTGTATTTGGTGCAATAATGTAATATTGTTGGTACTCAGCGGCAAAGGACGGAAACCAAGGCAAATTGAAGGGAACTGTTGTTATGAATGTTCCAGTTCTTGGTTTGTACTGTAATTATGTGTATTAGCTTGATGCATTCAAGATGATGTGATTTTGTTTGTCAAGGGTGACACCGTTGATGACAATCGATTTTGGGATCAAACCGATAAATCCTGAGTGGTGTGGTTGTTGGCTATTATATATGGGTTGTTGACTCCAAGGATGATGAGAATTTTCAAACCTGTTAATTTTCATTCAGAAAAGATGGTGGGTGATATATTTTTTGGCAGAACACCGGCACACAACTGTACGAACAGCTGATACAAATATTTTTGGATATCTTATGTTCTTTACATTTTTTTTACCATGTCGACTGCTTCCCGTTGCAGTGGTTGCAGGGGCAGTTTGATTGAACATACATGAAAATATGTGTTCAGACGTTTTTGGTTCTGAATTATGCTAGCGAATTTCGCTACATTGTCCTGATCAGATTTTCCAGCAGCCTACTAGAAATTTGTTTTTGCCAAATTATGTTTGAGTTTTCGTTTGATGTACCATTAACCATTCGAATCAGTTTTATTGCTTCACACTGTGGATTAAACGCATGTAGTCGAGAGCTTGGTCATGGTGAGATTTGTGTCAAGTTGTGTTTTGCCCGGGCCACGGGGCGTGGCTTGAGGACAAACTGACAAACGTAAGAATATTGAAATTATTTGGACGTTTAACATTTTCAAAAACCCATGTAAACGATTTGAAGGACACTTGGCTTGTTTTGTCTCAACAACACCATCAACATTTGATATCAAGTGATATCGAGTGAGCAAAGAAAAGAAAGGTAAAAATCAACCTGTTGCATTGCATGTGCAAATAGTTTTAGGGGTGAGTTTCAGGGCAACCACCAACTCTGATGTTTTGTAATTGCACCATGTGTAGAGACTGTATTGCTGAGGTGGTGGTACCGGTGATGTCAGGGGATGGTTTCAAAATATCCTAGTTCCTTTGAGGGTGGCAAATCACGTCCACAATCTTCCCCGAGTAGCGAGGAGACAGCACTCATCACCAAAATTTTCATTGCCAACCTTAAAAGGAAACATGTTCATCTGAATCGGATTACTGGCTGACAGCATCCATCGAGCAGCCAAAGGACATGTAATCAGCAAGAAAGCAAACGAAGGTTTAAACACAAGACGCTACGATACAAGACGCACATTTTCACAGAGGCATGCTCGGTGTACCCCCATGATGCATGCTTTGGGTTGAGTGGTCGTTACAACAAATATTTTCAAATATTAGACACCAACACCAAGCATGTGAGTCAACAACTCTAGCTTTGCCCCGACAAGACTCTGCAAGAAAATGTTTGGGTGTGGGTGGCGGCCCCGCGTTCTCAGGGGGGTGGGTCCGATAGATGCTTCAAAGATTTTGGAAGCATATGGGAGCATATTTTACATGGGACCATTATCTCAGAAAATTAGTCAGAATCCATCAATCACGGCACACTTCGCCCATAAGGACCTTCTCACATCCTAGAATTCCTTGAGCAAACGCTCATGGATTAGACCCCTGGCAGTGCCCAAGTGACACTCTTATCCTCTGCATGGATCCACAGGGACCAGTGAAATTGCAGTTGTGCCCACCATTTGCATCCATTTGCGCAGTGAGTTTGGTTCCACACCCCCTAAATTTGGCCCTAAATCCCCCAACAAATATAAGGTTAAAGTTTGATTCAGTTATTATTTTGCTCAATGTTCTTGTGATTCCGTGCCGTGCTATATATTGTGTACATCTTATACTGCATCATCACTCTGCCATTCCATCGTATGTCGTACCATATTATTGTAGCATCATGTATACCATTGCACCATAAAACCGTACCACCATAAAACCGAACCACCGTACCACCATTCCACCTTACCACCGCAAACTCGGACCGGACCACCGTACCCTTGGACCGTACCACCGTACCGTACCACCGTACCCTCGTACCGTACCACCGTACCGTACCTCATTAGCGTCGTGTAGGGTCGTGCCGTTTTGAGTGTACCTAAGCTTAGAATGAATAGGTACACTCAAAACGGCACGACCCTACACGACGCTAATGAGGTACGGTACGGTGGTACGGTACGAGGGTACGGTGGTACGGTACGGTGGTACGCTGGTACACTCAAAACGGCACGGCCTTACACGACGCTAATGAGGTACAGTACGGTGGTACGGTACGAGGGTACGGTGGTACGGTACGGTGGTACGCTGGTACACTCAGAACGGCACGACGCTAATGAGGTACGGTACGGTGGTACGGTTCGAGGGTAGGGTGGTACGGTCCAAGGGTACGGTGGTACGGTCCGAGCGTATGGTGGTACAGTGGCATGGTGGTACGGTGGTACAGTGGCTTGCCGGTGGCTAAGTTGGAGATGTTGCTTGCTTTCGTGCGTGAACATTGGACAACAAGTTACAAACTACAACCCTCTATTCAGAGCCGGGGCTATCAAATAGGAAAGACAAATATTGCCTATCCCATGGTGTTGTTTGATACCATGGCTTGAAAGATCCTTGCTACTTGCTACATCTTGTTGCATGTGATTAGCTGTAAACTGCAGGCTATACTATGTAGTGGCACCGTATCCAAACCAAAGACCCTGAACTTCAACCAACTATCCTTGCACCGACGGATTTTTTATTGTGAAGATCCATGAACAAGTCCGGCGAAGTAGATCGGCCCAGGGCCCTCAGAATGTCTTGTTTTCTTCCTTGTGTGCACCCTATAGCTCAATATTGCAAGAAAAACGCAGTTTGGGTTATGCCAACTTGATTACATAAAATGATTAGTTTGGCATGGTTTTCTCAAAGTGAGAGTCACTGTAAAAAGTTTTTGAGGCACACAGCGTGCTTACTTATATTACATATCTTACTTTTGATGTGCAACCAGGGCAAATGGGATACTTATTTAAAAAATGCTGCAGTGTACTGCTAGATCTTGTCCTGGTTGTTTTTTATTTGTTTCTTATGTTTCTTGATTTCTGATTTCGTGATCTATGCTTTATTTGATCACGTAATTTGTTTATTTTTCTATATTTGCTAAGAATGTGTAGCAGGTTTCGATCCCAAAAATCTATTGCCAGCTGCCTCACACATGTTACACATTGGGAAGGTTGGCAACGAACACGCTGCAAAATATTGTTTCAATAAACTGGACAAGCGCAGATCACGAACGATGGCAACATAAATTTGGCACGTCACAACAGCGGAATGGACAAAATAGATACTACCACTAGGCTTAAGTCGTATCAATCGACCTGAAGTCGTATCACACCTGCGTGCGCGCAGTGTTTCGTATAGATTTTGATAGTTCTTTATTTGATGGGTTATTGATTCGAACACTTTTTCATCGCTGTGCGCAATGTTTTGTTGACATGATTCTATTTGACCCTACTAGCCCTAGCGTTAAGTCGTATCAGCTCGTAGAAGTTGTATCGGGAGGCCGTGCGCCTGGAAAAAGTTCAAGTTTGGCATCACCACAACTTTTAGTAATTGGACGATTTCATTGTTTTGGGGCCGTGCGCCTAGAAAAAGTTCAATTTTTGTATTGCGTTGATTTATAAAACTTATATTATATTTCATTATTCTTTCAACGGGGCAAACGCTGGTTGCTGCTTTCTGCTTGCTTTCTGCTTGCTTGCTTGCTTGCTTGCTTGCTCCTTGCTGCTGCTGCTCCTCCTGCTGCTGCTGCTGCTTGCTGCTGCTGTTGCTGCTGCTGTTGCTGCTGCTGCTGCTGCCTCCTGCTGCTGTTGCTGCTGCCTCCTGCTGCTGCTGCTGCTGGCTGCGGCTTCCTTCCTTCTGCTGCTGCTGCCTCCTGCTGCTACCTCCTGCTGCTGCTCCTGCTGCTGCTCCTGCTGCTGCCTCCTGCTGCTGCCTCCTGCTGCTGCTGCTGCTTCCGCCTGCTGCTGCTGCTGCTGCTTCCTCCTGCTGCTGCTGCTGCTGCTGCTGCTGCTGCTCCTGCTGCTGCTGCTGCCTCCTGCTGCTGCTGCTGCTGCCTCCTCCTCCTCCTGCTGCTGCTTCCTCCTCCTGCTGCTGCTGCTGCTGCTTCCTCCTGCTGCTGCTGCCGCTGGTGCAAACATTTTGCCGAAAAAGAAAATTACAGTCTCGGTCGCCTTGTTTGGCGCTGGCGGGAGATACGGGCGGGAGACGCCAGCAGAGAGAGGGAATGTTTACAGAAGGCAGAACTTATGAAACATTCAAGCGGAAGCGGATGTTGACAGCGGTGTGCCACTGGGTTTTCAGATTTTAACGTTGTTGATATGATGATGTTGCCCATAGCTATTACATGGAAATCTATGTTTGTTAGGAAACAAAGTTAAAGATCTGGGAGGCCGTGTGCCATGGTGATTCCTAAATATATCCTTTGAAAACATAGTTTAAACATATGTGAATACCTCAGTGTGCGCAATGTTTTCTTCATTTTTGGAGATATAACAACATTCCTTGAAAGCCGGTGTGCCATTGGGATTTTGATATTTTGATGTGACTTTTGCCCAGTTGATGTGACTTTCTTCCAACTCGCTGTTACATGGGGTTGATGTGACTTCTGCCCAACTGATGTGACTTAAACCCTTCGCTCGTAGTGTTGAAACAGTCTCGTTTGAGACAAGGCAAGTCGCAACAATTAGAGGCCTCCCCAGTTGAAAATAGCACAGCAAAAAAATAAAACAAACAATACAAGACAACAATGTGCATCAACACTGATCAAACCTTGATGCGTTCATGCTTTCCTTGATTTCAGTTTGATTGCATGCTGGCATGTGCATATTTTTTGATATACCGCCGAAAAACGACAGCACCAAAGCAGCCGGTTTGCCCAAACGCCTTGTTCTCAGGGCTCATGGATTTCTCTACCGTTGAGATTTTGGATGTCGTTTCAAAAACAATAGGGCGTGCACTGCCCACACACCAGCTCAACATGATGGAAATCAATAATTCTAATAATGCCCAAACAATACCAAAGGGACCGGCCCGAAGTCAGAAGGCAAAAAATAACCCGAAGAAACAAAAACTCTTCAGAAACAAAGCAAACTATCTCATTGATTGGTTGGAGGCTTGACCCCTTTAATTCTATTCCATGTAACATTTTTTTGGCTACTTGGTCAACCCTTGAGATAAAATCAAACAGTTAGCAAAGTGCCCCTAGCAAAAGGCCTCGGTACTACAACTACATGTACATGAAGTTGGTCCTCAATAGAGCAAAACTAGGAAACCATGGGATTCTGAAACAACAGAAGTGATTTCGCCGAATAGGCTGGCTACAAGAAGCATATGTAGTGAACGTGAAAAAAAGCAAACCTGCTAAAAAGATCCAAAAAACGCTTGCTGACTTTCGTGTATGTGCATGCATGGGGAAAAACAAATCAACAAGCCGACGCAACAGTTGTACCACGTGGATCAATATAGGGGCCATAAGTCTAATTCCTTTTTTTGCGGCAGAGGAGGTTTCATGAATTGTTTTAGACATCAGTATTGCGGCACTTCATAGCCGTGATCACAGAGCAACACGACGTATCTCATCTACGTTGCAATGCAGTGCTGGAACACATCCCACCACAATGTAAAACAGTATACAACCACTGCTTGAGCATGGCAGGACAATATCCATCCAAATTTATGTTCTGTAGTTATCAGTGATCGGTATGTTTGTTTTTTCCTTGTGTTTGGGATAGTTTGTGATGTACATGATTGGACACCTATTTATTTGATCAAACAACCCAACACAGCCAACTGAAAGCAACTATGGTGTGACACACTATTACCGCAGTATGAGATATCCAACCACTCATCCATCTACTATGCAACCATACCATGTATGCCTTGCATCATATACCATATGATCCCATATCAGCCCATAGCATGCACATTTGTCACTATTTACGTTTACAACAATAATAATATTGCACCATGAAGATGCAACACAGCACCATTCAACTGTAACACCGTAATTACCACTCCACCTTCAAAACCGTACCATGTACCCTCAGACCGTACCCCACACCGTACCCTCAGACCGTACCCCACACCGTACCACCGTACCTTTCGTACCCTGGTTTGAACGTACCCGATTTAACCTTACTATTTCACACCTATCTTGAACTTTCATAATATATATATACATACACTATATAAATATAAATATATATATATACACATATTTATGTATAAATATGCATAATGCTCCTGACGCAGATAATTTTTTTGAATTTTCAATCACATCATCCCCAAGTTAGTGAAGTTTTTGTTTTGACATTTTCACATACACATCCTGAATGATTTTTTGAACATTCCCAGCAACTTGAAGTTGGGCGCTTTCAAAGTGCTATGTTGGTTGCAGGCCGCGGGCGATGTTAATGGGCACTTTGCAGGCCCGGTTCTAGCGTCGTGGTACGGAAAATAGGGTGACCTAAATCCATGAGTTAATATAGTGAAGCATCATTTTCCCTATGCTATTTTGGGTCACGCCTCCACTTTCAGACACACCCATGCTTGGAAACAAATGCAGGCATGATCCAAGTGCATTTCAATCATATAAGCGACGTGCAGCCCATGCGATTCTTGTGTGGATCGCGCATATCGCGCATGGGTTGGGTAGCACCGAATCCGTGTTTTGAGCAACGCACTTGTAATGTCAGGCATGGATTTCCCGTGAGAATTCAAAAATCGCTGCCATCACTAGTGGCCCACAGAGAGAGAGAGAGAGAGAGATAGAGATGGATGGATGGATAGATAGATAAGATAGGATAAGACAAGATGAGATAAGACAAGATACTATAAGATTAGATTATATCGGATAGAGAGATACTGTAGATGGATAGGTAAGGAGAGACAAGGAGAGACAAGGAGAGAGAAGGAGAGGGAAGGAGAGAAGGAGATGTTTGTCCCTGCCTTCAATGGAAGGGTTCCATTGACATTGCCGATGAAATCGTGGGTCCCTGCAGTGGGGACTAAATGGGTGGGGAATAATTAGTTTGTTGGAGTTTGAAGGAGAACTGCACCGTGTGCATCTACGTGCTATGGATTGCTATGGCTAATCGTTTGAACTTTGAACAGTAGAACAGTAGCTTTTTCGCCGCCGGCTTCACCAGGGGGTGAGGCCCCTGCGCGGTTGATTTCCTCGTCCCTTCCTCTCCCCTTCCCCGTAAAATGCCTTGCGTTGATGCGGGATGAAATGTGTAGAGTGTAGAGTGTCCCGATGTTCCCCCTACCTTCATGTTGCATGTTTGGGAATGTTGCATGTTTGGGATAGTCAAGTGCATTTGCACTAAGTGATGGATTTAATGTCGACGTTTGTCCGTTTTCTTCACTATGTGAATCCTTGAGCTCTGTTGAAACAGCTGTTGCAAAGCGACAGCTCCCGAACCTGGAAGTATTGACAAATAGTGACTAGAGGTCCAAAACGTTGTGGAGAGGTTCTAAATTGAAGTTAATTGATGGAAGTTTCCCAGCCCAGAAAAGGCGGCTAGGCAGCTTTTCGAGTACTCGTACAGGTCCTGGCAGGTTGTGAGATACTCTGGAATGTTCGGTTCAACTATGACTATATAAAATTATATAAACACATGTGACATTGATATGCACATGCCAGCTGTTTCACAGTGGTTTCTTTATGTTTCTTTTTTGAACGGGGCAAGATGACACACTTTCAGCTTTGGGATACCAGGAGTTGCAGTCCAGTGTTTAGCTTGTTGATGGCAGGCAGCACGCTTCCAAAACTACTCCGACATTGTTATTGTGATTGGCGGGTCGTCGCAAGATCAGGCATGCCCGTCGAACTCGTGCTGTTTGAAGGAGTTTTTTGAATCGCTTCGACAGGTCTACAAAGACGGAGAAATCACAGTGGCCCAGGTCTCAGGTCCAAATTCGCTTCCCAGGTCTGTGGTGATGAACAGAAACATGAAAAAACCGAGTCAGCTCCATTTTTGCAAAGGTTGAAACCACCTTCATGAGCTACGATCTCACTGGCTTGTCGGCTCTCTGGCATCAGAGAAATCACCCCTGGGTCAGAGCCCAGGCTGAAGACATGGGAGACATTGGAGACATGGGGGACATGGCCACTGCTGCCTGGACTGCCTCTGGCTCGCAGCTCGCAGGCATATTTGTACCTCTTAGACACCGTCACAGTTGGAGTTGGCTTTCCGGAAAAGTTCGAGGCCTTGTCCACTGTCCTAGCCTGAGTTGGAAAGAAAACTCGGGAAAGACGTGTTCTGGAAACCGTGGAGACCACATGAAACCACTTGGATTTGCATCTCCTCGCTCTATTTGGCATTTCGCTTCTTTCATATGTGAGGTGAATCGTGTTGGCTATGAAGAGTATCGGGCACCTCCCATCCCGCCCCTTGGGCAAAAACACCACAGCATTGAAGGAGACGGAGATTTCAATATGGTTTTGTCCAAAAAGGATGAAAAAACATGAAAAAACCCAAGAAGAATCGGTTCATCATTTTCCCATCCCATGTCCCGTATGTATCCATATGTCCCATAATCCACTTGTTAATCATGATGTTCCCATAGATATTCCCGCCATTTTGGGGCACAACAATTTCAGACAACGCCATTGGAGGATTACGTCCTATTAAGGTCATCCAATATTTGTCTCTTCGGCCATGGTGTGGTGGAAAGTCACCAGCTGAGCAGATGGCCATCTCGGCTCGCGTCGCGTTAGGGACGTCATGTGAGATTTTCACAGTGGTAGGTAGAGACTATCAAAAAAGAGTGGTCCAGTAGTACAATTCGATTCAGTTTTTGCATTTGAGTCATTTGACCATGTTTTACCTGCTGTGCCGCCAAGATTACAAAAAGAATTTCGATGTCATCCTCTCAAAACAGGACAGGCTTTGGATATCGCCAGGTCGAGTGCCGAAATTGACGCAATTCATGCACTTTACTATATACACCAGCACTTTTGAATCACATGAATCATGTGAAATGGCTATGTTTGGTGCGGTCAGTGCTGGTGACAGACCATCCACGAGCTACATCAAGACATCATGAAGTGACACAGTGACTGACAAACTTGTTCTAGTTCCACCCAACGCATTCAACAAAGCCTCTCAGAAGCAGATAGATTATAGAATGAAGATCTCAACAACATACGCAATCTGGAGTATCTCTTGAAGTTCAAAACGCGTTCAATACTTGCGTGACACACACAGACAGACACAGGTGCAGTGCTGCACTTGCAGTGGGATCAAAGCATCGCAGGACGGTCTCTGGTTTGAACAAGGCCATGCTCCCAGAGGAGTGCGTCGTTTGGACAAGTTTGCTTCCAACGTGACTACCCTGAAGGTTGGGGGCGTTGGGGGGCTCCGAGCTCTGGGTGCTGCCGGCGAACGTTTTTTGATTTGGCGATTCTTTAGTGGATCGTCGCAGGCCAGACAGGAGCATGGGGATCCAGTGGATATCTACAAAACGGGATATTCTCGCCGAGTTTTTTGGTATCCGGATTTGGAACCTGGCTTGAAATATGTTGAAATTGTGGAGCTTGAAGATGTGCTTGAAGATGTGCTCAGTGTTTTCTAAAAAGAACATGCAGTCCCAGCCTTGTCCACTTGACCACAATCTGAGGATCTCTACAAGTACATCCTGTGGGACAGAAATGGTGACCTTGTAGGCGGGACAGTGCCAGATTTCGATCGCACAAGAGGATCGCTGGAATCGCTGGTTGTTGTCCTCGAGGTCACATCCAATATATGGACATCATCCAGAAATCTACAAAGGACCATAGCTTTGATTGGAAGCATCTTGGCTGCACATCTTTAGATCAAGTTGGTCCACACGACATTTTTTTGGCTGCGGCTCTCAAAGCTTTGGTCAGCTAAGGAAACTGTTGCGTTGGATTGGCCTTCCTTGACCGAGAAAAGTCCATGTAAACTTTAAATTTACAAATTAACTATTTGAAATTTTTTTACTTCAAGCCTGCTTGAATATTTTCAGCAAAATTACAAACGCGCCAAAATCCATTTGGGCTGCCTACTTCCTGTTTCTGCGTGTTGCGGGTGCGGTTTTTCATTTGATGCGGCTGTTCCTTATACATATATCATATACATGTATATATATATATATTTCTTCTTCAAGCAATATCCTATTAGTTTATACCATCATTATTATCAGTTATTTTTTTTTTCTAGGATTAAATTTACAAGTAAAAATATACTTAAATAAATAATCAAATATAAATAAATATATATATATATACACATGATATACCAGTAGTACCGCACAAGGCGGTGGCGGAAGTTTCAAAGATAGGAAACCTATAGGAGAGGTTGGCTGTTGGGATGCATGGATGGCAGAGCGAATCCACTGATGGAGTTGTGCTTCTTGGAGCGGTTGCAATGGTTGCAGTGGTCACCTCAGTAACAACTGCTGGATGTAGTGTGGTGTAGTGCAGTTGTAGTTGTAGCTGTAGTGTAGTGGAGTTGTAGTTGTAGTTGCAGTGTAGTGTGATGGTAGCGGTAGTTGTATAGTTGCAGTCGTAGTTGTGGTGTGGTGAAATGAGTGTAGGGAAATGAAATGTAGTGTAGTGTGTGTGTGCTGTAGTGGTGCGCGCTGTAGTGTAGTCTAGTGTAGTGTAGGAAAAAGTAGTGTAGTTGTAGCTTTAGCTGTAGTTAGTGTAGTGTAGCGTAGTGTAGTGTAATTAGTGTAGTGAAGTGTAATGTAGCAATGTAGTAATGTAGTTGTAGCAATGTAGCAATGTAGCAATGTAGCAATGTAGCAATGTAGTTGTAGTTGTAGTGTGATTCGTGTAGCGTAGTGTTGTGTCATCTAGTGTAGTTGTAGTTGCAAGTTGTAGTTGTAGTTGTAATTATAATTACATTTGCATTTGTAGTTAATTGCAATTGCAATTACAATTGTACAATTGCAGTTGCAATAACAATAACAATTATAATTATAACTATAATTATATAGCTACCTATCTATTTATATATATATATATGTACTAGTATTATGGAAAGGGTGGTATCGTACGCGTAAATAAATCGGCTGGTTCGAAAATTTAAACTATTTTGGACTTTTAGCTGAATAATTTTTAGGGCTGTACGAGGACGTAGCTGATTTTTTTGGAATTTTTATGTTACTTGTGGGAAGCAATTTTGCGGCTTTGTAGTAACATTGACTAACAATTACTTTGAAAAACGACAGTTTTGGGGAATAATTTTAAAAAGCAACTTTGGGAAGCAATTTTTGGAAACAACTTTTGGGGCAGCCTTAGAAGCTTGGGGGAGCCGCTGTTCGGAGAAGCTTTCGATAACAATTTTGGGGAGCGGCCTTGGGGAACAGCTTTTTGAAGCAGGTTTGGGGAGTAGGAGCAGCTTTGAGGAGAAGCTTTGCACAGCAGCTTTGAATAGCAGCTGTGAAGAAGCTTTGGGAACTAGCTTCAGAACGCAACTTTGGGGGCTGCTTTCGGCATTAATTGTGGGGAGTAGCTTTCGGGAGCTACTTTGGAAAATAGCTTTGGGAAGCAGCTTCGGGGAACCACTTTGGGGAATAACTTTGGCAAATTTCCCGGAACAATTTGGCGGAATAATTATTTTGAAGAATAACCATTTTGGGGAGCAATTTTATATATAATTTTGGGGAGTAGCTTTTAATACAAACCGTGGGGAACAGCTTTCGGGAGCCGCTTTATAGAATAATTTTGGGGAGCCGTTGAGGGATATATATTTGAAAAATCGTAGCGTTGGGGTAATAGCTTTGGAGAATAATTTTGGAATTGGCGGAATAGTGCTTTTTAACAGCTTTGGGGAATAATTTTGAATAATTTTTTGGACTAGTTTCGAAGCAGCTTCGGGGAGCAGCCTTGGAGTTTTGAGGAGCTGCTTTTAGATACGATTTTCGGTAAGAATTTTGGAAGAATTATTAAAGGGTTACGCCTTCTGCCGCCGACCCCTGGATACTGGAGGGTCATGCCTGCCTCTGTGTCGTAAGCATGAAATGAACCCTAAAGAAACCAGAAACTGACCTAAACAAACCATTTGTATGTGCGTTTGACACTGTGCACATGCAAGCAGCATGGACCCTTGCAGGATAACACGCACAACTATGTGCTCTGACACTTTTTCATGG